CTAGACCCTGGGATAATCTCTATCGCGTGGACGACCTCCCTCTCTACAACCCCTGTCGGTTCTTCAAATAGATCAGGGTACTTGGCAACTACTCCCTCTATCTCCGGCAACATTTTCACCGGCTCGCCTGCAGCAGAGACATAAACTAAGTACATACCCTCCTCCTGATTTTGCTTATAATAGTTATAGAACGCGGCCACACACATGCATCCATGGGACTCGATCAGACTACTAGCTTTGAACTTGTGCAATCTGGCGGTCCCTCCACCCGGCAAAGTGTGTTTGACCACTTTTCGGTCCCAGTCAAACTGGGGTTGTGCCACAGAGAGGTAGTACATACCTAACAACATGTCCATGGGGAATTCGTCACTCACTAGGAACGAGACGCGATGTCTCAATTCCCCTCCCGCGTACGGGAAACAACACTCAACATCTTGGAGGTAGTCATTGACTACCATGCGCTGTTTGTTGGCACAGGTCGACTCCACAGGTCGACTCAGGCGCTGCACTTGCCCATGTAAGCGCAGCCTCTCAAAGCACGCACGACTGATAAAGTTCCTTGTCGAGCAAGTGTCATAATAGGCCCCGGCCATGAGGCTGCCAATAACCACTTCGCTGACGAACATCTCACCCTTTGGGGCTTTGACTAGGGCCGTCCAAGAAGCTAGCAGGTCTGATCTAGACCACTCCTCCTCTAGCTCCTCTAAGGACTCAAACATATTCATCGGACAGAGGCTCGATGGGTCTGAATGTGTTTGTGGGACGACGCTGGAGTCAGTAGCTTGAGATGGTGACGGTGTCTCCACCACCTCGACCCTAGTAGGAACAACTACTATTCCTACTGGCCCGACGTGTTTCCCGGAGCAGTGTCTGAAGTGCTGGCAACATTGCTACCAACGGGATGGGAGGATCCTACCGCCTACCTTCTTGTTACGACACTTGAACTGATTATGGCCATATTGACCACAACGAATACACGCTTGCCGTGAGTACCGATCTCTCCACACGTCCTTGGTAAGACCCGCCTTCTCCCATGGGGGAGCATTGGGGTCAACTTGACTCCTTGACCGGGAGCCTCCGCTGCGTCTACCGGTCGCCTTACCTTTTTAAGCTACGACAGCGACAACTCCACCCCCTGAAGCTTCAACGCTGCCCGCCTCTGCACCTACTCCCTCCTGGAAGTTGTTGTCTAATTCGATGGTTGAACCATCGTTATCGACAAACATAATGCGTCCCTTCGCCTTCCAGTTGGGAGGCAGTGTTTTCTTCCTACCATCCGTATGGGTGCCTGCCCATGCCCTGCTTTTGCCTCAAGGTCTAGGGCCTTCTTGCTGAACGAGGGGAAGTTGTGAACATTGATGTTGGCCTCACCTGCCAACTGATTCCTGAGAGGCATTGGAAAGCATCTCAGGTACGAGGTGAGTAAAACTTGGGGGTCATAGCGCACCCAGGGACACAGATCAGACGCTCTACAGCGTCACTGGCCTCCCTGATTGACTTAAACTGCTATGTGTGCAGTGTCAAGATCGCCTCAGTGGCTTTTTGAGCCTCCTGAGGATCATGCCACCTTTCCTCCACCATCTTAAGAAAGTCCTCCAGTTTCTGGCGGGCTGCCCAAGAGCGGAAGTCATGACCATATCCCTGAAGTTGCACCAAACCGCTCAACCATCGTGTTGCACTACCCTCTAGATATGATGCAGCCACTAACACTTCCTCGTGCGGCAAGGTAAGCTTACATTTGACATAGACCGGCACTGCCCTCAACCACGTGTCGAGGTCTTCGCCCCTCTTATCCCCTGTAAAAGGTTTGGGAGCAGCGATGGCCGTCTTTGGAACCCACTGTGTTTGTCCCGGTCCCTGCATCACTCCGGCCTGTGGACCCTGTGACACAGGCTGTTGTGCTAGCTGCTGGGGCTGTGTACCCTGCGGTTGTACAGACTGCGAGACAACAGGCTGCGTGGTAACCTCAACCTGCAACAGAGATTGGGTGAACACTGTCTCTACCGGAACCTGCAAACTAGGTCCTGCTGTGATCCCTCCTAATAGCGGCATGCCCAGGGAAACGATCGCAACTGATGATGGGGCTACAAATGGGGATACCCCAATCACCGGTGGGACAAAAGGAGGAGGCTGTACAATGGGCCAGGCACCAGGCCCGGACATTGGCGACGTTGCCTGCGCTTGCCCAACCAACAGGGCCAGACTTTGCTGGATGTCCTGAAGGATGGCTGTCTGATGGTCCTGCATCTCAACTACATTCAGCAGGACGGACCGTACGATCCTCACCTCATCAGTCACGTGCGTCAGGTCCATCTCCTCTAACTCACTAACGTCCACTTGTCTCCGTTGCATCCTGGCTCTTCTTCTAATCATTCTTTCTTTCTCCGCTTTTATATCTCCTAACGCGTTCTGTAGCTCTGCCTCCTGCAATGTTGCTTGTTGTATGGCGATCTCATCGGAAGTCAACACTAGTGGCTGGCTTGCCATGACGCCAGTGGACTGACTTTGGGCATGCGCGATCGTTGACCCTACAGATCCTGAAGTACCGGCCTGAGTAGTCTGCTGCGCAGAAGTGGCCATGGCTTCGGAAGCTGCGGCTTCACTCACAAGTGCCCTGCTAGCCTCTGCTGCTCTAGCCCTCCTCTGCTGCTGCAACCTCTCTCTACGCTGGCGGAACAGATATCTGTCCCCTTTGGACCTAATGCCAAATGGGCTACTGGGCGCCTTGCCGATCGCAAGATCCGGTCGTCCTCTCTGGTGTCCTCCTCGTCGCTCATAAGCTACAGCACTGTACACAATATGCACTAATACACATTGGATGCTTACCGCAGTGTAGTGCACAGACCAACTAATTAATTGGTGGCTATTTCAGAGACTTTACATTCGGGCCCAATAGGGAAGTCAGATTCCTATAAATAAAACTATTTTTAGTTTGACTAGTCCGCAAAACAGAAGCACCATGAACAAGAAACAGTACTAACTAATGTTGTCTGTCAGATGTCAATGGCTGTACACCTAACTAATCAAAACATAAAAATAGAATCATTTGTGTGGATAGGACAACATGGAATTTTCTCGAACTTATCAC